CTGGCATCAGTGAGATTTTATAATCATGGATGTGACACACACATTTTAGGACTTCTGAACCAGTGTAGCCGGTGTCACCCAAAAAATATCAGATTCACAGGGAAGCAATAGCAGGACCTTCAGAAAGTCCTTGGACAATCACATTCATTCAGTGACATGGTGCTTTTCCTGCTTTCCCATCCTACCTATCTGTTACTTTACACATATGTTTGTTCCAAAGTTTGGGAAAAATTTTTTTTTTTTTTTTTTTTAGAAAAATATCTTTTTCTCTGTATATGTGTTTCTCAGATACGCCTCTCTGTATATGTATATTCAAAAGGATGACAGGGCAGATCTTCAAAAATAACTGCAATCAAGGATAACAAAAATCTCTTAACACCAAGTTAAGAGCAATGTGTGCACTTCCCAGAGCTGCTAGCTCATGAAACCAAGACTTAAAAAAATCTTCTGAAGTCAACTATGACTCAGTTGCTCTGAAAGCTGTAATGGGTCACACAGCAGAAAAGCAGAGCTAGTTATCTACATTTGCAGCTGTTTACACAAACAGTTTTGGATCTTGCTGCTTTGTGGGCCACAAACATTGAGTCAGGATCTGTGACTGGGTTCCCAGATAGAGAACTACCTGCCTCTTGCTTTCCACACCAGCTGAGGTCTCCTCATTCTGTGGTGCTCACTACCCCACTTCAAGCAAAGCTGAAGGAAAACGGGGCTGGGAAAAGCCCATAACGAGGCAATATGCCTATACTTTTTTTTTCCTCAGACTTCTGCCAGCAGCAGAAACGAGACTCACTGACTGGCTGAAGCTCACATTCTGCAGTGATACTATGCCTCCCAAAGTCACCCTAACTGCATGAACAATTAGAAGTAGGTGTGTTCATTGAGCCCTATTCCTCCTCCCACCTTTACAATATCCATATTAACAAGGACAGCAAAATCCACACAGAGTAGGATTTTTAATATTAAAATTGGTTTCAATGTATTCTAACAATAAAACAACTCTTTAACAGAAGGAAAACGGAAGCACTAATGGGAAAGCTGAAGCAAAAAGAGAAAAGCACTAACAAGCAAGACAAAAACGTAGTATTATACACAGCTTAAAGAGGAGGCAAGGAAACACAAGCTGATACCTCAGAACAGGTGTTGAAAAATAATTTATTTTTACAAGATTTTAGTATTACTGATACCAGGTCCTGAGCCTGGAAGCTGCTGGAAAACTCAGAACCACCCTGCAGCAAAGAATAAATACACAAACCAGAGACTTAAGGATAGCCTATCCTTTAAGAGAAGAGTAAAAATAACAAAACAAATCATTCATTCACACTACAAAAATCTTGCTTCATTCAAGGAAGGCTATCCTTCAGGTGAATTCTATGCTAAGGAAGGGAAGAATATTCTGCAAGGAACAGACATGAGTGAGCAAGAATCTACCTACTAGCATGCTAGGAAGAGAGCTGAAGAAGAGATTCCCCCTGATCGCCTTGGAGATCCTTTATGATCCACCAGAAAGATCTTCAACGTAAGTCATCAGCAAATTAAATGGTGCAAATAAGAAATTCTGACTTATGAAGGACAGCCCATCTTTTATTGGCAGCTTATCGGCCTGCATTTTAGGAATAGGGAAATGAAAACACAGGAGATCATGCAGCCAGCAGCCAGAAATATATTTTTAAAAAAGCAAGGTGCTCACTTGTCCATTTGGTTAAAAAAAAAAGATTACAAAGTTGCAAAATATCCGTCAAACAGAAGTCTTTTTAAAATACAAAGGTAAAAACCCACAAAAATAAGCAACTTCTCTTGTCTGAGTAGAAACCAAACAAACCAAACATATTAGGTACTGCTAAAGCTAGAAGAATCGGATACATGGCTAGACAGATGAACTGTTACCTTATTCAGAAAGAAGTAACTGAACCCTCAGACAAGGAGGAGCAAACCAGCATTATCAAGTATTAACCATTTCAGTTATCAAAGGAGACTTTAGACACCACCATCCCACACGCTTAGAGACTCATGTGTTATCAGATCAAGCTACTGCAGTCTAAACGTGCTATACTGCACAGAAATCATAACAGAGGGTAAGAAGCATGACTCCTCCCATGCCCATATAAAACACCAGAGGAAGCTCTGTTAGCATCATTCCAGCCTGAATGACATTCACTGTATCTTGGACCTCTATCAGTAAAAGTTTCTAGTCGACTGTTTCTTGAACTTACTGTTACAGTCCAAGCAGAGCAAGTCTATTCAGTTCCATCTGATGAGGAAACTTTCACAGAACTATGTACTAATTAAGATATAATTATTTAAATCACATAAGAATACACAGCTTAAAGTGCAGACCAGTGAAACAGCAGTGACTGTAAAACTGGCGTCTTTACAAAGTGGAGGACAACTGTAAATCTAACCAGATGTCAAACAAGCTGGAAAGAAAAGATAAGTTATAAGCTAACAATTTAATTTGATTCACAGAAGCCATGGGGAATTCAACAAAATAGCCAGGATTACAGAAAGAAAAGGTAAGCCTACGGGAAAAAGAAGGGAGAAGTCAGCTGCAAAGAACAGAGATGTGTGAGAAGCAAGCAACTAGAAGACGAACTGAGAAATCCATGGCTGAAAAGTTAGGGACAGCAGGACTTATATATAATAAGAATGTGAAACCCAGATAATGATAAAAGTATTCAGCCATTCTTAGAAGAAATCAGTGCAGATGGACAAAGCATTCCTGACATTTGTTTTAAATTTGTCAAGAAGGCCTGCTTATATAGACAAAACAGGAAGACATTCATACAGATTTAAGAAACAAGGCATGTAATTCAGTAATGATTAATTTATCAAAATACATCATGTCAAATAAATTGCTTTGATTTCAATTTTACTGTTGCAATAATGCTTTGATGAATAAACTTTTCAAAAGGTACTCAGTCGCACATGTCACTTTGCCTAACGAATTCTAATGCAAAATTAAGATGAAGCGTGCTGTGAACTGGTTCACTAAGAGACCTCACGACGTAAGTACCAAGTCACTCAATAGTTACATTTGTCATGGAGTGCTGCAGGAATCACTCTGGTCCAGCACAGCACTTTATCAATAACTTAGACGAAAACAGAAGTCTTTGAAAACACAAACGATTTGAGATGGGGTATAGGAGAGGAGAGCTGGAAGGAAGAGTGAGTCGCTAACACAATGAAACCGAATTGTTTCTCACAGTCAATACAGATAAAATGCTTGAAAATACCGTAAAAAAAAGGCAATGAACATTCAGAACAGGAAATATGTCACCAAAAAAATCAATCTTGGGAAGAACAACTTCAAATCATGTACAGTTTCATAAAAAATGCAGCAAGACTTCTCTGGGAAGCCTCATGGTGCCATCTAGAGGAGACGGGTCCACAGCAGTTTTAATGCTGGTTTTGACAGTCAGTTTCAACTAACAGTCAAGTCAAAAGGGGTTGTTAAGTTTCAATAGACAAAGATACAATCAAACCCAATACCTCTGGACCAGAACTATAAGTCCCTTAACTTTAATGAACAGATCTTTTGGATTTTTCTTCTTGTTCTCTCCCTGATCTAAGCCTATAAGAGGAAAGAACTTAAAGACAGTATTGGGAAAAACAGCCCTAAGAAATTGTTCAAATTCTGCATCTAATTTTCTGTCAAAATTTTCCTAAGATAAATGTATATTATGACACACAAAGCATTCGAGGTATCGTAGCCTAGAGGAAAATAGACTTCAGTGACAAGAATTTACAAACATGGAGAGGTTTCATAGAGAAATCTTGAAAATTCAAGATTTCAGTTACCATAGGCTAAAGGTCATAACTCTTGGACCTCAGATATTTCATTGTTCACTCACTTTGTCTTCTTTCTGTATGTATTTGTTCGCAGCAAAAATAAATGGAAATACACGTAACAAATATTGCTAAGGAAACAACGACCTTGTTAGCTTTTTCAAGCTCTGCTTAAACTCCGTTTAGCAGGACAAAGCTGTCTGACATTGAAGCCTACAGCTTAATTGGGAAAGCCAATCATCAGCCAATCTTTGTATCTGACTCAGTTTTGCATTAGATTACTTTAACTTCTACTCCACCGAATGCTTTACACAATCTTAACAGACGTCAGCACGGAAAGTAAAATAAATTTGCAGGAAGTGTGTTAAAATAGGCTTAATGATCTGTTAATAAGAAAGCATTAGGATATCCTAGGCTTACAGTCAAGAAGATTCTAAAGGTCTATTACTGGGTTTTGTCATCCACTGAAAGGAAGGTGAAAGACTTTTGGCACTTTGTGTAGCCCGAGAGCAACTGCAACCAAGGTCTATATTAGAGCAAAATTAAGCTGAAAAAAATAAATGCATCAGTATGTACGGGCAGCTTTTAAAGAAACACAATCCTCAGAGCTGGATCAACCTGTTGACAAGATTCATAAATGTGAAGATGAAAGCAGCTTCTTCTTCAAAAAACTGATAAAAATTGGCTGTTTGTAAGTGGGATGGAAGTTAACTTTAGTACTCAATGACATCTCACCTCCTGCCACAATTAAGAACAGAAAAAAAAAACAACTACAGAAGCAGAAAAAAGTATGAACACTAAGTGACAGGAGAGCCCTATGCACAAGTGAAAGTTTCACTGTGGAGTCAGTACATTAAGTTTGACAGAAGTACTGCCACAAGTATTCTGAGAAACAGCTTCAGTGTCTTGAGTGGGAAATTAAGTGAAGTAACCTGATTTATCTAAGGCAAAGTTAAGTCAGGAACACAAGTCTACGTGTCACCAGACAACACCAAGCACACGACCTCTTGTTACTTCTGCTGTTTGCCCCATGCAGGTAGGCTGTCAGTTGGAGACGCAAGCCCTCTCATCCTGTTTTGGAAAGTCACTAACTGTGACTGTCAGACACCTACCTGCCTATCTACTAATACACTTTTCCAGCTACAAACACACCATGAGCACACATTTTAGTGGGAAGATTGGCAATACAGTCGGTCACACCTGCATACAGCACTTACATTCATCCAGTCCCAGCTGATAAGCCAGGTTCTGCAGGCCACGAACCTTCTCCATCAGGTTAGCTGTAGTGAGACTCCCCAACTCTAAGAAGAGAGAAAAGTGTGAATTTTACCACTGGCTATAGTCCTCTAGTAACAGTTTAGCTGCTTCCTACTTTACAGAGCACTTTCAAGTCATACTTCTGACAAGATCTATTTCTGGTAAATGGAGCATATTCAAAATTCAAGCTGATGCCACCCCTGATTTTAACATACTGAGAAAAGACCAGCTTTCTCTACTGAAAAAGACAGCCACGGATCTGCTCCATACTGTAATCTGCCACCACTGCAATGAGCAACACGCCATATTTTAGAAGTTCTTTTAAGTTCACATTGCTACGTGAACAAGCTACAAAGAGTATGCAAGGGAATGGACTTACTATACACCAATAACGTGTGTTTAAGCACACTTCTGGCAGCAAGTCAAAGTTATTTTGTCCCACTTTCACTCTGGAACAGTTTATCTGGAAGTCACACAGAGGCAGAGCATGCTCAAGGATGTTTACTGCAAACTAATAGCTGTAACACGCAGCGTATCTACATGCTAGCTAGCCCTTCTGTAACTTGCTCATATAGCCTTACTGTTTGATTAGAGATCTTGGACCTATGAGTGAAGCATAAAGTATCTACGAAAAAGTCAATCAACAAGTCTAAGCTGCTCATGAAGCCTGATCAGCTGAGGCCCATCAAAAGATTCGTGCCACTTCTCAAACTGCAGGAGACACCCGCTATACCTATGCAGTGATAGACTGGCAAGCGAGGTAAGTGAAATACCTCTAACGTTTCACTGCTTCAACCAGTTCTTGCATGCTTGTTTTGAAAAATGAGCTTGCCACTAACATCTGGATATTCTCTTAGAGACAATTGGATTAACGAAAAATGTGTATCGTTAACAAGATAAAGAGACTCCTGAGCTGGAGATTCTGCAAATGTGAGGGCTAGAAATCTAAGACCACAGGGCTTACTAATGCAAGACTCTTGCTTTCCAAAATAAGACAAATGAACAGTACAATCAACAACAACAACAAAAAAAACAACACACAAGCATTTGGACATCCAGGACAAAAAAAATCTCTGAGAGAAGTACTGAAGAACATAAAAGGACTACTCCCCATTCCTTCACCCCCAGAACATTTAAAGAACAAGTGTTTTAACTCTCTTAAGTACTGAATTCCCACCTGCTTTGGCAATCTTATTTCCTAGCCACAATATCCATACTCACCCTTTAACATATCGATATCATCGTTTTCTAATTCAGCCATCCACTTGGGAGGAGAACTTGTAATAGGCTGTTTTGAAAAACACAAAAGTTCACACTCAGACAAGTGCATTTTTAAAATCACAGAAAAACATCTGATCTCATAGTAAAAACTAGTTACAGCGAGAGCAAAAATATGAGAGTTCCAGGTGCTCTACAGAGATATTTTTATGTTTAATCTTGTTTTCTAGTTTTCCCTGGACTTTTTAGAGTTAAAACCAGCACACTACCACCTGCAAGCCAAAGTCAGTACGAAAAGCAAGATCTCCTAAAGTTTGAAGTCTTTTATTTTTCCCAAGGTGTAATCCTCATTCACAGTAAGTTGCACGAGGTATTAAAAAATACGTATAGAAGATATATTAAAACCAAAACGATTATACACTGAAGTTTTAATCGAGACACGTTTTACAGCACAAAGACAAAAAGCCCACAAGAGGAAGCAGCAAATCTACCACCACGAGGAAGGGGGAGAGGCGAAAGGCAAAAGGGCGCTCACTCACGCTCTTGAAGGAGGCGGCGAACTCGGCAACCCCGGGCACTGCGAAGAGAAAACGACGGGCGGCGGCGGGTGAGTGCCTCTGGCGGCGGCAGCACCCCGCACCC